TATATTTCTCACAATTCTACAGGCTGTGGATTTCAAGCTCAAGTTGCTGGCAGATTTGGTGTCTGGCGATGGCTCACATTCTGACTCATAGATAGATTTCTCGTGTGTCCTCAACTGGAAGAAGCAGCCAGGGAGCTCTGTGGGGTCTCTTTTGTAAGGTGCTGATCCCATTCAGCAGGGTTCCACCTCATGACCTAATCACCTACAAAATGTCCTAGCTTGTAATATATACACATTGGGGTTTAGGATTTCAACAAAAATGTTGGCAAGGACCAACAATCAGACCATAGCAGTACCTGACTGAAACTTATGTGTCATCTAATTATTGAGAACCTCTTGCTCAGCAATAGCCCTTAGATTAACATTCACTTGGGAAGCGATTGTTCCAAATCTTGGCCCATTTTGAAAGGTCCAATCATAATGCTTCCCCAAATAACTGTGTCTCCAACCTTTCAGCCTTATTTCTTCTAAGGTCTGATAATTTGTTAAAACTGGGGGTCTATATCATTGAATTAGCTATCTCTCTTTCCAAAGTGATCATCAGATGTAACCTTTAAATTTTACATGCGGTTGTGACTTGCCTTCTGCCAAAGCACCCTTTGGCATATAGTTGAGGTGACATCAGTCCAGTGTAGCTATCTGACCAATCTCAGGCATAAATTTGATCCCAATTCCAGAAATAATTCATAAACATAAGGAAAAACCCAAATTAGTCTGTAATTTAAAGCTCTCAGTTCATCATTTTTGTTTGTTTGTTTGTTTTTGTTTTTCTTCATTCCCAGGCACCTGACTAGTGAATATTTCATCAACAAAAAAATTTCTCATAGTTTCTATGTCTTTCTTTACCTAGAAAATTAAGAAATGGAGTAATCTATACCCTAATGTTTCACGCAGTGTCACTCTATGTTAAAAGTCATTAGAATATAGGCTGTGTTAAATTACTTTTCATTAGTTTTGGCCCAATAACAACCTGTTAAATTGTTCCTTTGTAGGTCTTTGTAATTCTTCAACACATCATTCTCAGGGCATTGTTGGAAGGAACAAAATCCCCAAAACAGAGGGCACAAGCAAGTTTAAGTCCCACTGTTTCTAGCACGAAAATATCATTTTGATTTCTTCCTAGGTATTTGAAATTCTTTAAGTTTCTAAAAACCATGGCTCTATTTTATTTTTAACCTATTTCATCATGCCATTTACAAATAATTATATTTTTTCAATACTTACAATCTTAAAGTAAGTTAATTTTGTGCTAATTGGAAAATAAAATCCCATGTGTTTTCAACATTTGGATTTCAATAGAGTTTCTTAAATGGAAATGGGGGGAAAAGGCCCATTTAACTGAAATAGATGTCTCCTAAAACTGAGCATCTGAAACCTTACACATATCTCCTGATATCTTGTTGAAATAACCCTCAAAAGTAGGTGTAAGTGGAACCTCCTCTTTTCATTTGGATAAGCNTAAGGCAAGGGGGTATCCTGACGCCCCAGGATCCAGTTGCTGACTATAATACCCTATGGGTGTATGGTTTTCCAGTGTTCTGGGGTGAGAACACAAAGCGTGTTTCTTTCTTTTTCACATACATAAAGGGAAAAGAAAAAGAATCTGTTAAATGCCCTCAAACAGGTGGGTTTATTAAAGTCTCCTTTAAGCTTTCAAATGCTAATCTGCCCGTTCTTCCTACAAAATTGGGCCAGGGTTGTTGTGCTTTAGTGACACATACAGTTTTTGCCATATGAGTGAGACTTGGTTTCCAATTCTGACAACAGTCCACTGACAAAACCTCTCAGCGAATGCTTAGTTTGGGGTTTGGGAAACCATTAAGATTTCTGGATTTAGGTGAGGCTCTCGTTCAGACATCAGATGTCCTAAATGTCAAATCTGGGTAAGGGCAAACCACAACTTTTCTTAGGAGACTTTATGTTGTTTGAAGGCCTAAACTTCTAACAGATGGATGCTGACTTCCTGTGAGAGGAGCTAAGAAGCAAGTCATCCACATATTGCAACAAAGTAGAACTCCTCGGGAAATTTATATCATATAGATTAACCTTCAGATTTGTGAGAAACAAAAAGGTATCTCGGTAAAACCCTGAGGCATTAATGTCCAGTTGAGTTGTTTTTCTTCCCACATGAAGGCAACAAGGTGATGAATAGCTGCATCAGCTGGAATACTGAAGAATGTATTGCATAAGTCAGTTAGGTTAGGGAATTTACATTCAGTTAGGATGGATGCTAGCAGTATGTGAAGGTTAGGAATAATAGTATTCTGAAAGCTAACAATGTTGTTTATTGCTCAGAAGTCCTGAACAATCTCAACTCCTATCCCTTGGGGTTTCTCACAGGAAAAGTGGGAACGTTATAGCGTCTAGAGCAAGGGAATAGGCCCTGAGTTTTAGGATCTACTGTGGGCTTTATACCTTGAAAGACCTTATGGGATATTGATTCTGGCAATGGGTTTTAGTAATACATTTGAATCTTGATAGGAGGTGCACTGTGGATTCTGCCAATATCAACTGAAGATTTTTCCCAGAAAGAGAATGACAAGTCATCCAATAAGGACAAATGAACCATGCACCCAGATTTAAATATAATGTCATGAGAAATGGAGCAAATAAAATATGCTAGAAGTGCATTTAATTTACGATAGTGGCTATTTTGATGGCTACTCTCAAATTCTAGAGTTATTTCCTCCTTTTGGGAGAAAGAAATTCCAGCATGACACTATTCTAAGACGTCTCAGTTAAATAAATAAATAGAGGCAGGAGAAGTAAAAAGAAAAGGGTGACTAACTCTTAAATATCCTAAACAAAGAAACAGTTTCAAGACAATAGCAAATTGAGGTTCATTTGAGACCCTCATGGTTATAACAGTTTTAGTACTCTTAGGCAGGGGCTGCTTTATAGCAGTGGGGTAGAGCACCATGAGTGTAGCTTTGGTATCAATAAGAACAGAGAGAAATTCGTTCCCATCTTGGAGAAAAGTTTCTGGGCCTATTAAGAGGGAAAGTTGGGAAGAGCCCCTGTAGTCCTCAGAGCACTGCCATTTGGAATTAGAAGGACATTGGAAAGACTGGTTAGAATATTGAGGGTGCCTGACGTGCTTAAAATTGGGACAATTTCTATTGCAGTGTCCTGGCACTTTTCAATAAAAATAGAAGCTGGGTTTTTTATTTTGTATGTGGGTCTTCAGTGGCCAGACTTGAAAATTTAAAATTTTAGCAGCCTTACTTCTAAGTGAGTACTCTCGGGTGTGAGCAAGCTGATTTGACACATTAACTAAGTCTTGAAGAGACATATTTTCCCATTCCATTGTGGTCCTTTGGACTACAATGGAAAGGCTTCTGTTCAGCCTATTTAAAATAAACTTAAAGGCTACCCAAGTGAAATCATTTGACCGAAGACACAAATTTTTCTTAAAAACAATCTGAAGTCAATTATAAATATCAGGAAGCAGTATATCAAGTTTTTGTTTTATTCCAATCTAAATTTTATTCCAATCAACAGGCTTATGAAAAGTTATGGTAACTGCTCAAAGGAGATTTCAGTGAGTTTCCTAGCATTTTCTAAAAGTTTGAGGTTTGCTGGATCCTTAGAAGGCTGAACTTTAAAGGGGTCAGCACTGATAGATTCAGAGGANATATCTTGTCAAATGCTATTTCTATATCTATTGATAGGATCATATGATTTTTGTCTTTTGTTTTGTGTATATGATATATCACATTGATCGATTTGCATATGTTGAACCATTCTTGCATCCCTGGAATGAACCCCACTTGATCGCAATGTATAATCTTTTTAATGTGTTGTTGTTGTATTTGATTTGAAACTATTTTGTTTAGGATTTTTTTACCTGGATATATCAGAAATATGGGTCTGTAGTTTTCTTTTTGTTGTTTTGCTTACCAGGTTTTGGTATCAGCATAATGTAGGCTTTATAAAGCAAGTTAGAAAGTATTCGCTCTTCTACAATTTTTTGGAAGAGTTTAAAGAAGACAGGTATTAAATCATCTTTGAATATTTGGTAGAACTCATTAATAAAGCCATCAGGACTTAAAGTTTTGCTTTTGGGGAGGTTTTGAAATATTGTTTCAATTTTCTTACAGTTGATTGGTTGATTTGGATTTTCCAGTTTTTTGTGAGTCATTTATTTTATGAGATATATTTCTAAGAAATTGTCCATTTCTTCTAGGTTATTGAATTTGGTGGCATGTAGTCTTTCAGAGTATTTTGTATGATCCTTTGTATTTCTATGGTACGCATCATAACTTTTTTCATTTTTGGTTGTGTTTATTTCTGTCTATTTTCCTTTCTCTTTAGTGAGTTTAGTCAGGAGTTTGTCAATGTTAGTTTTTACAAGGAACCAGATCTTTCTTGCATTAAGTTTTCAATGGTATTTTTGTTTTTGATTTCATTTAATTCTGCTTTAAATTTTATTATTTTCTTCCTTCTGATGATTTTGGGCTTCATTTGTTCTTTTTCTAGTTCTTTAAGATGGAATGCTAGTGTGTTTATTTGGAGTTTTTGGTGTTGCTTGAGGTAGGTGTGTAATAATATGAACTTTCAAACCCTGATTACCACTTTTGCTATATCCCCTAAGTTTTGATAGGCTGTATTTTCATTCTACTTTGTTTCTATGTCTCTTTTGATCTCTTCTTTTATTTCTTCTTGGACCCAGTTATTCTTTAGTAGCATGTTGTTTAATCTCCTGCTTTATTTGCACTTGAGCTCCTATTTCAAAGCATTTTGGTCAGAGAATATTCTTGGTATTTTTTCAGTCTTCTTAAATTTGTTGATGCTTATTTTGTGTTCCAACAAATGGTCTATCCTTGGGTATGTTCTATGTGTGCTAGAAAAGAATGCATAATCTGGATTTCTGGGATGAAAGGCTTTGTATGTGTTGATTGTGTCTATTCGGTCTAATGTGTCATCTAAGGCTAATATTTATTTATTGATTTTNAAAAGGCTGCCATTGTATGTGAAATTATTTCTATATATGTAAAACTTTTCCCTTATTTTTCTATTTTCTCAATCATTTAACAAAGATTTCTTGTTAAGAAGTCAGACTTGATGATGATGGTTTAAAGCACAGCCAAATGTATTGTAACTGGCAAAATTCTGAGAGATGTAAAAAGAATGACCATTCAGACTGCCTGCTGTCAGTTCCACATCATCACTCTCAATTGAGGCAGCACATTTCCCAGAACCACTTTGCTCTCTATGGTTTCTTATAGAGTTGCTCAGTGAGGGGCCCTCCCTGATGTTTGAAGTCAGAAGAGGAGGATTTAATACTATCCACCAGTTCCTGCAGGCAGAGTGGAGGACTGGACAATGACTGGTGAGCAGAGAGCATCAGCACCACCACTCCTGGGCTTCCCACACAGGTCTGAGTGCCCCATGGTTAGACAGCCTCTGTCTCCATGGCATATTTTCTCTTGTTTTGGGGGAGCACCAGGGAATCCCACATTTCCATTATCTGCATCCTCCGTTATTAATTCCAAAGGCCTTTAAAACAATGTACTTTAGAAGTTAATTCCATATATTAAGCATTTTCTGCTTGCAGTATGTAAAGTGGCAACTCTTTCATTTACTGAACTCTAATACTGCAGCCCAGACACTCATGTGTGTTGATATCTGTTTTTTTATGAAATCAGGAGACATTTTGTATGTGCCTCTGAGGCTGAGGAGAGACAAGATGAGTTAGGGTGCAGAAGAGGCTCCCTGGTCACTTCTACCCAAACCTCCAGTCACCATCAAAGAGTGAGTGCATCTGAGAATTGTTCTCAGCCAAAGGAGGCCCACGAGGAACAGCTGGAGTGGCCAACTCTCAGCTGTCTGCTTCATGGTTTATGTTCAGCCTTGTAACACTGTGAGAGGGGTACTATAACCTTGTTGACAGTAATAAATTGCATAATCTTCAGGCTGCAGGTTGCTGATGGTGAGAGTGAAATCTGTCCCAGATCCTTGGCCACTGAACCTCGAAGGGACACCAGTTTGCAAATTGGTTGCCTTATAGATCAGGAGCTTAGGAGCTGCCCCTGGTTTCTGCTGATACCAGTTTAAGTAACTGCTAATGCTCTGACTGGCCCGGCAAGTGATGGTGACTCTGTCTCCCACTGATGCAGACAGGGAGGATGTAGACTGGGTCATCTGGATATCACATCTGGCTCCTGAGAATGGAAACAAGAAAACAAACATCCATAGTCTTAATGATGTTATCAGGTCTCTTAACTACCCTGCAGTCTAAGTGGTACTGACCACACTGGCAGAGTAAATCCCCCAAGTGCTCCTTTCTTACCTGGGAGCCACAGCAGCAGGACGCTGAGAAGCTGAGTTGGGACCCTCATGTCCATGCTCTGTCCTGCCTGGGACTGATCCCTGCACAGGGTGTGACCACACTATTAATGTGTCCAGCGCTGTGGGTTGCACCCCAGTCACATGCAAATAAGCAGGGGTTGAGGCTGGTTGGGCACAGCTGCAGGGCTGACTGGTCTCAATAACACAGCACAGTCTGTGTCTACCTGGTGCCCAACCCCACCCCCAACAGCACAAATTTGCCTGCAAGAAATGTGTTTCTCGTCGGCAGTCACAAGAATCATTCTACCATGCTATGAATATGGTGTTCTCTGTTCAAACGTCAGGAGCTGCTTCTCTTGCTACATCTCCATCTAAAACTTGGTCTTTCGTATGTGGCACAACCCTAGTACTTGCAAGAAGTTTTGCCAACTATTGGCATTCGTACCTGTGCACTGTGTTGAGGACAGAAGACTTCCTTTTGGGTGGAATTCTTAAACCTTTGGTATGGAAAATTAACATTACTGGCAGCCAGAGATGCAATGAGATGTTAGAGTAAAAAAAAAACAAAAAAAAGTGAGTCTCATGATTTGTAAAGAAGTGCCCAGTGACTGAGTGTCTGTCATTGCTAACTTGTCATCTCTAGCTGAGTGATCTGTCCTTTCCATTTCCAAGATGGCTTACATCTAGGCCAGCCATGGTCAGACATTTTCTCCCCCATATGTGAAATGTGTCAGACACCTTTTTTCTCTTCAGGTCTTTCCCACACCCATGCTACACTTTCCCTGAACTCCTTGGGTTACTACTTGTGCCTCACTCCTTCTTACCCCAAGCTATTCTCTTAGAAGCTGAAGGCTTCCCCAGACTAAGTGCTTATGTTGAACTCTGACACTACTGTGTTCTCTAAACAAGCATATTCCTAAATCACTAAAGCTCTTTTAGTTTCTAAGAGAAGATATTTCTCAGTGGCTGGATGCGGGGCCTTCGGCCCAAGTAGGGTGATGAGAAAACCACACAGGAAGGTGAGGGCTGGAGCCTTGCACAGGGTATTAGAGCCCACACAGTATGGAAAAGGCATCCATGTGTGATAGAGGGGAACCCAGCATGAAGTCGAATGGTGTGAGGACTGGTGTCCCCACATGGCCTTGGTGACACTAATGGACCAGTACATATGTTAAGGCCGGAGCAAGACGAGGACATTCATTGAGGCAGCGGGAATGAGTGTAGGTGTCAGAGCCAAGGCATGGTGTGGACGGTGCTCATGCAAGAGTGCAAAGTTGGCAGTGGCCTGACAAGGGTATCAGAGCCAGAACAGGGTGTGTGGGTGGATGTAGGGGGGAAGTTCTGTGCAAGGGGATTGTAGTTGGCTCTAACAGCAGGAGATTGGTTTCATTCAGGAGGGTTGATGATCATATAAGTAAAAGTATTAAGGATAATTGGAGACAAAATTCTCACTGTTGGAGAAAGGAGTTACAGATACAGAAAAGGAAATTCCTAGGATAAACTAGGTTGGGATTAAAATTGGAAATATCAGGGTTATATATAGCTTAGATATGAAAGTGTGTGTTGATCTATAAATGGATTATGGATAGATAGATACATAGACTTTCCTTAGCCTAGTACCAATGACACCCACATCCCAAGAAGCATCCACAGTGCCCAGATCTTAGTTTCTAAATACCATTTTCCACTAGAAGAAAAGCAGTAGTTACTGGAGAAATGCTTCATTCCAGGTCTAGAATGGAGAAAATACAAAATAACTGTGGACAATTTAGGCCAGAAATTAAGAAGTGCTCAAGAAAATTAAGATGAGGTGAAAGAAGCCATTTGGAATGGGACTGTCATCTGGCAAATCTGGGGAATTTTGAGAATCAGACTCAATAGTGATAGTAACTCAGTGAAGGAAATATGAGCCCGTGATTTCATACTGACACTTTAATGAGGAATAGAATATTCATAAAATATGAAGAACATTTTCCAAAAAAATCTTATTAATTTCAATGGGCAAAAGAGCAGCTGTGCAGCAGTGAAGTCTGGCAGACACCACCTTGATCCAGGAATTGAAGTGATGTTGTTAGTAATGGGACAAATTAGACTATTGGACCATCTCATAGGATGCAGTGAGGAGAGCAGACAATCACTTTCAGAAACTCCTGCCAAAGATGCATTAGCTGGATCTGATCATGAGGGAAAATCAAACAAATCCAAATTGAGGGACATCCTACAAAATAATTGGTATTTATCTTCAAAAGTGTTAAGATCATTAAGTTCAAGGAAAGAATGATGAACTGTTCCAGATGAAGGAGAGAAAGGAATATAGACAAATAAAAGTGTGGGAAAGGTGTTAGGTTAGGAAAATTCGCCTTCATTGCTTGATGTGACACCATTGTTTCTTTTGGTCTCTTCTTCTCCCTCATGTTCCCTGGCAGAGGAGACGTGAAGACATGGGATGATGGTTGGTCTATTTCTTTCTTTCTTTTTTTTTTTTTTAAGTTAAAGTTTATTGTTCCTTTTGGTCTGTCCCTCCTTCATTTCATCCCCGGAAGGGGAGATATGAGGTGAAGTTCTCTTTGTCTGTCTCTCCCAGAATGACAGGACAGGCACATTGCTAAGCCTTAACTGGCCTTGGGCGGATGGCCCCAGGCAGGGACAGCAGGCTGCTTGTCCAGATGAACTGGCCCTTCAGCTGGATAAGCAACATCCTTATCACATTAACTGCCGAACCCTCTGGGAATTGGCCATTCCCTGAGAGGGAGGCAGGAACAAAACCTTGGCCCCAAAGTACATCTGAAGAGATAGATAAGACAGACCTCAACTGACAGTTCACCCTTCTTCCTCTTCTTCTTTTTCTTCTTCTTTCTTTCATCAGCATTATTATTTGGGGAACTTCCCTGCAGCGTGCATCACTGGGGGATGGCAGTGTTTGGAACTTGAACTTCCATGCAGCTTGCAGCATTTGGGGGCACCCCCGTTTCCTGCCACGGACCTGGCTTGTTCTTTTGGTTACCGACCTCTCCAGTGTTGTCTTCCCACAGTTTGGTGAGCTTCTTTGGCATAACATTGTTATTAATCTGTACAGTTTAGTCTTAATTGCCCTTTAATTGCCTTTGTCTTTTGCAATTATATACTGCTAAATAAATTGTAAATAAATTGATTTGGTTCCCCTTTAGCGTTTGCTCCCCTCTTTTCCCTGCTCATCATTACAAAAGGTTCCAGGTGAATCTGGAATGGATTCTTTTGTTATAAAAGGTAATGTTGGGACATTTGTCAAAACTTGAGATGGGCCCGAGGACTAGATGGTTTAATATATTAATGCTGATTTCCTCATTTCATGGTTGCGTTGGGTTATATTAAAGAATGTCCTTTTTTGAAGCGAATACATAGTAAAGTCTTAGAAGGTAGGGCTATCAGATCATCAACTTACTCTCAAATGGTTCATGGGCAAAGGAGAAATTACTGTGTGCTGTATCTACAACATTTCTGTAAGTGTGAGGTTTTCAAATTTTATTACAGTACAAAAAGCAGTTCTTAAAAGTATGTTGAAGGTATTAAAAAGCAGTTTACTGCCATTCTTATTATAGGGGCAAGTCACTTACTGTAGATACCCAAGGATCATAAGTATCATGTTTCTCCAAAGGTGTGTCACACATACAGCACTTTCTAAGCCATAGGCCTCAATTTTTCAGTGAACTATATAGGATGTATCTTATCATTGGATTGGGCTCCTCCACATTCTACACCCTCTCCTGATTCGGCCTCACTTGCCAAAGGTCATCAGCAAGAAAGCTCTGACTATGGATGCTAGACCTGATTACCTCAGCATAAAGTATGTTTTTGTGGGGGTTTTCCCCCCTCTAACAAAAGAGGATGACCGTTGAATTGGATGAAGATATTCCTGCAACCCTAGATCAGCTCAAAGCCTCTGGGCATTAATTCTCTTTAAAGTAAAGTGAAGACCAAGATTATATCACTTGAGGGAATTGTTGTGAATCTCAGAGAGGACAGGAAGAAAGGGGATCTGGAGACAGAGATGAACCTAGCCATGCTATTACTGAAACAAGGCAGAGAGTCTTTAAATGGTGGCTACAGAGAGAAAGATCTCGTGTCTACAAAACAGCCTATGAGAAACCTTTTGTGCCCAAAGGTAGTGGACTCTCATGGTGTATCCATGATGGCCCAGGGATCGGCTGTTACATACACAAATGTCATTTGTTGCCTTTGATATTTTTGTTTTCCAAAACAAAAAGTCTAAAAATCTCCATTAAAAGTAGCATTCTTCTTATTTAGGACATAAATTTGTAATTTATAATGAAGACTAGATTGTGAAAGGCATATGAAATCATAGCTAATCAAAACATGTATCATTGCTACTGCCAATTTTGCTAGTATTATTTCTATTAAAAAGTGTGTGTGTGTGTGTGTGTGTGTGTGTGTGTGTGTGTGTGTGTGTGTGTGTTTTGAAACTTTCTTTCTTCTATACTCATTCCTAAAAAGATCATAGTAGATCTCAGGCTTGTGACTGACATAAACAAAATTGAATTTAAATATGAAGTTAAAATTTTTTATTCAATTAAAAATAAAAATGTTTAGTGCAGCCGGTTAGCTCAGTTGGTTAGAGCGCAGTGCCCACACCACTAAGGTTGCCAGTGCGATCCCCGCATGGGCCACTGAGCTGCGCCCTCCACCACTAGATTGAAACAACTACTTGACTTGGAGCTGATGGGTCCTGGAAAAACACACTGTTTTCCAAAAAAAAAAAAAAAAAAGAAAAAGGAAAAAAGAAAACAGCTTAAAATTAAAAAAAAAAATTTGTGACAATCTTAAGAAATCTTGAAGTTTCTACTAGAAAAAAATGCTGTATGTATAATTTTGACCAACATATTTGTTTTTTTTTTTTTGTTTTTTACTCACAGAAATAATTTAATCTACCTGGGAAAAAAAGAATTCAATAAGTTTTCTTCCCTTTGCATGCTCAATGGATATTCACTATCAAATATTCCATTCCCTTTTCAGGTAAAAGATCAAACATTCCATTCCCTTTTTCAGGTGAAAGCCTCCATTCATTCAAATATTTTAAAATA